ATTATCGTACTTAAACATTACTTAATTAAAAAAAAATAAGAAAAAAATAATCATTATTTAAAATTTGAAACTGCACTTAGGTGTAGTACTCAACTTAAAACGAACTAAATATTATTTTGCAATTACTCTTTTTCTTTCCCAGCAATTTTAAAGTAATTGTATCATTCAGTTCTATTAGTAGGCACGAACAAAAAACTGAGAAACCGAAAAACCGCAGCGAAAAGTGAAAAATTCAAGCCGATATGTACCATCCTGACTTAAAACCCCATATACGGTAAAAAAAATTATTTGAAAAACCGAAAACATCGGTTTGTATATGGAGAAATAAAAAAAATTCCGAACCGAACAGATTTATACAAAACAACTGTCGTTCGTCTTCCCCTAGCGCACCTCTACCCTTCGAACCCTCCATGTGACATGTTTTTTAATAGTTAATTTTGGGTTTTGACATGTTTTTTATTAGTTAATTTTGGGTTATTTTTTAATATTCTCAAACAAATGTAATGAAAGTCCAAATTCACAATTAACCAAATATCGGTTTTATGGCGAACCGATTCGAACCAATAGATGAAACCGAAACAAAAAATAAACCGAGTTGATACCGAAACCGTGAACCAAAAACCGAAAAACCGAATAACACCGAACCGAAAAATCCCATACTATCAGTACGTGTTTGCTTTATTGCAAACATCGAGCCGTACCAAACCGTATACACCCCTATCTATTTTTCCTTTTCTGTTTTCAATTTTTATCGTTTTTATTTTTTAGTATATCTTTTAAATTTTGAGCTTATATTATCGTACTTTAACATTACTAATTAAAAAAAATAAATAAGAAAAAAATAATCATTATTTAAAATTTGAACCTGCACTTAGGTGTAGTTCCCAACTTAAGACGAAAGGACATTTTCGTATATGAGAATCAGAGATCTCTTGCAATATACTATTTAAAAAAAAAATATATTCAATATTGGACAAAATGCACTTCATCCCATTAAAAAATCAATTGTTTGCACATTCCCCCTGAAAATATACAAAAGAGACTTTCCCTCTTTAAAATACAAAACTAGGTGCAGTTTGCCCCGAAACTGTATTCCATTTAAACTTTTGCCGGATTTTGATAATGCAGCAGGGTAATTTCGTCATTTACATTTAAATGTCAGTTTATATTTATTTATTATTTTCCCACTCCATTTTTATCCATTTCTACGCGGAACTGGATTCGCGAATCAGGCTAGCTCTTCTCCATCGATTCTTGATGGTTATTATTCTTTTTTATTTCTTTTTTGAACATTGAACTCATGCTGGTAGTGGTTAATTAGTTTGGATTATTAAATTGATAATGTTTGAATTTGTGTGTACTGTATATTTTAGTGCTCCAGGGATTGTAACTGATTGTAAGAAAAGTTGTCCAAAATCAATGGTGATTTTGTGAGAATATGGTGGAGGTCTAAGAAAAATTCATAGTTGACGGGGGTAGATGTAATTATCCAAACAAGAGAGGGATTTTTGTAATTTGACCATACCTCAGGGGGGTGTTTGTAATTTACCCTATAAATTTACTACGGTTTATTTATTGATACGTTTGTGTTTTTCTTCAAAGAACTTAGGTTATTTTTGGTAAGCTTTTGAGCTTTCATTTGCATTTTATTTTGGGGAAAGATGTTTTGGGAGAAGAATTTGGAAATAAAATAAAGTTTGTTTGTGTTTTCAGATAATAACCTCAAAAATCATGCAAAATGAAGTCATAAAACAATAAAATGGTAATTTACACGGACAGGGAACCTATTTAGTTATGTATTCATGTCTTTCATTTTCAAGTTTTTTTTTTGTTTTTGAAATCGGTCTCCATTTCTCGACACATACAGGTCGATTATTTTGTGTTTTTTCAACATGTATTTGTCGAAAAATGTGAAAAAAGTTAAAACTCGACACCAAGGTGTCGAATTTTGTCAAAATTCCAAGTGTCGGTGTCACTAATGTGATTTTTTCTCTTTTTAGAGGACTAATGCCATTTTTTTTTCTTGTAGTGCATATAAACTTTGTACATTTATATATCTATCTATCTATCTATATATATATATATATATATATATATATATATATATATATATATATATCTCGATATTATTTAATACATCACGGGCTTTTTGACTCTTTCTTTCAATAATTTCATAGCGTGAGTCCAATAAAAAATATCAAGTACAGGCTCCACGAAGACCAGCAAGTCCACCTCCGCCGCCGCCACGGCCACCGATCGGGCCTCACCCGTGAATAAGTGAAAGACACAAAACCTCAAATAGGACATATTTTGAGGATCATTCTCATTTTACTTTCCGGTTTGTATAAAAACTCCATGTATAGTATTAATATTAGCACAAGTACTCCTACGGTGAGTTTTTTTACCACACGACGATCTAAATGATAAATTTTGTAGCCTGTTGTTAAAAAAAGTTGAATCGTAGTATAACAACATGAAAAGTTTTTTCATAATTAGAATAAACACGCAGATGTTGAATACAATAAACTAAAAAGTATTTTGCATAATAATCAAATCATGTAAAGTATTGACACAAAGAGGGAAAATTTTGAAACAAAGAGATATTATTTGTCTTTTATGTTATAAATATATTTTTATAAAACCATTCATTTTAAATAATTGGGTAGTATTTTCTGGGATAAAGTCATAAAACTATTCATATTACTATTCCTAATAATATAAAGGGTAAAATTCATTTTGCACCCCTGTACTATGTAAAAGGTATCATTTACCCCCCTAATGTATAGAAAACATCAAACACCCCCCTATTTTTAACGGTCAATGGTCAAATTTTTAACGGTGTTAAATTTTGAGTGTGCAATGACTCTTTTACCCTGTTTTTATGTTTGATATAATTCCTAACTTTTTCTAGGCATATTTTTTTGTGGATTGTTGACGATTTCTAGCGTTAGTTCAAATTAGGACTTGTGTCGATTTTAGAATTTGATTTTATTTTTGGTTTTCTTTTTCGAGGATTTTTGCATTATAATATGAAAAGCTTTGTTTTTAATTTGCAATTCATTCATATGGTTTTATTTCAATTTTAGGTTTTCATTTAGATTTCAGAGCTTTTAGTTTTCCCTTTTGTGGGTTTTACATTCATAATCTGTAACGCTTCATTCTTATTTATTCGACTATTCAGCTTCTTTATAAGAAAAATGGCTGAAAATGTTAAAAAAAATGATTGAATAAAGTGAAACAAAGGGCAGAAAAAAATGAAAACTCCGGTGACACTTTGTCCAAACGAAGCATCTTATATGTTAAAAATTTTTGGGGTATTTTCGTTAAAAAAAAAAAGGGCAACATTTCTTTGCAATAGTCGGTCAAATGCTTTGACTAACGGAATTAGAAAAAAAACTAACGGCAGGGGGGTGTTTGATGTTTTCTATACTTCAGGGGGGTAAATGATACATTTCGCATAGTACAAGGGTGCAAAATGAATTTTACCCTAATATAAATATAAGTTTGAAATACTACTTCATATGAATATACTAAGTGCCATTTGTTATTGTTTCTATTTTTTTTTTTTTTGTTTTTGTTTTTTTTTTTTTTTTTTTTTTGTTGATAGTGGTGGAGATGTAATTTATGCATTGACTGGTTACGGATGTCAAAATTAACTTTAAAACATGGAGATTTTGTAATTCAGAAAAGACTTGTTCAAGTTCAGTTAAACTAAAAAAAGAGTTTAAGATATGTTTTAAAAAAAAAAAAAAATCACTGTCTCTTATTTTAAAGATTCTTCTTTGAATCAAAAGAAGTAGTTTTGAAATATTGGAGGCAGTCCCTCATTTCTAGCCCAACTCAAGGGCCATTTTTTTTTTTACAATATTTCGGGTTTTTTTTTTTGAGAATTGGGGTCATTTTGTAATTATTTACAAAAATACAATAAAGCGTCGTTTAAAACGACGCGTTTTAAGGGCCGTTGGATTGAGCTGAGATTGACGGCCAGATCTCCTATCTTGTTCTCCTAATCTGACGGCCAGAGATTAATCTGGGCAATCGGACGGCCGCTAAAAGGCGTCGTTTAAAACGACGCCCTTTGGTGCGCCACACTGGATTACAGCGTCATTTAATATGACGCCTTTTACCAGCCGTTTGATTGTGTTTATATCAACGGCTGGATTTGAGCTAAGGTTTTTTAAATTTACTTAATTTTTTTTTATTGTTAAATTGGAATACTTAATTGAATTTTAATTTTAAATTAATTATATATAGTATAATAAATAAATTTTCCTTCATTTATTTATGCAATTTATTTTATAATTCACTATAAAATAATACGAATTTGGAACATTTTTTTTCATTCCAATTTCCGATATTCCGATTTTTGATTTTTTCGATTATTTTTGGAACGGAATTGGAATTACATATAAAATTATTGGAAATTCCGATTTCCGATCCGATTGTATTTCTGAAATAATCATGTATATATATATATATATATATATATATATATATATATATATATATATATATATATATATATATATATATATATATATATATATTGTATTTTTGAATTATTTTTCTATTGATGTTTTGCAAGAATTATAGTTGCTTTGATAAATCAATTATGTTGTTTTTACAAGTGTTTAAATTTTATTTGATTGAACTTTGCTTTGGATTCTTGCCTTTTGCCGGAAAATTACGAAAATATTAAAAAACAATACTAAAAATTACCATTATTTCCGATTTTGGAACAAAACATTAAGAATTAATGCAATTTCCGAAAATTCCGAAATTCCGCCGATTCCGAGGTATTCCGAAATTGGAATGGATTTTGAAATTCCGATTTTTTTGGAACGGAAATTGGAACCTATTTTTAACTTCCGAAAAAATTGGAAATTTTCAAAAAAAGGCATTTCCGATCCATTCTGTCCGATTTCCATATTTTGTTAAATAAAAATAAAATGCCTAATTATTGGGAAATATTTTTTGTCTCTAAATCCTTTAGTTTATTTAATTTGTTTTTTATTGAATAACTAAAATACGAAAAAGTTTTAATAAATAACCAACATAAACTACAATAATAATATCACCAATGACGGTGACCTCCGGTGCCACATCTCGGGGGCCTTCTAGTCCTGTGCCCTCTACCAACTTGTTCATCCTCATCACTCGAAGAATTTGCGGATTGAGAATAAGGAATATGTGTGATCTGATGATCTACCGGTCGCGAAGACGAAAACTGATGCGTAGACCCCAAATGAATTGGGTCCTCCGAATTCATATTCGGATTAAAGTAGGGGTATGGGGTGTACGGATCTGCATCAACGAGATTATAATTAAACTCACAGTTGTAGATAGTATTAAAAATAAAATCAAAGGTACTAAACATACCAGATGGATGCCCGTGTGATCTAGGATCTGTATAATTATCGAATGCCGGATAATATGCACGAGAAGAAGTTCCTGCCTCGCCAGCGTACATCTGAGTCTGTGACTGAGGCATTTGAGACAGTGGTATCTGAGTCTGAGTCTGAGCGTGAGTCTGAGTATAAGGCATCTCAGATTGAGGCCTATCTGAAGGTCCGTGTCGAGACTCTAAGACATTAAGACATGTTCTGAGAGTCGGTAAATACGAACGATAGCCATCCCGGGGCATGTCTCCGCCATCAACAGAAACAATCAACGATCGAAGATGCTGAATCTGAAATAAGTAATAAGAAATATTTGATTTTTAGAAGACATACCTTAATAAAAATTATATAATACACAAAATTTTATAATTAATAAATTTGAATAGTACACTGTATCCATTGAAATCTGACCTCCAACCTGAAATCCTGTACGATCAGATGGGGTAATCGGTGATATGAAACGACGTGTGTGCAGTTCATACCACTCAAAATAACCATCTTCTGTAGTCTGACTGTCACTGGCATATGGATAATCAAGTCTATTATCCCAAGCGGTAACATGCGAAACATGTGTAAGCCTCCAGTCTCGGTTGGTAGCACCTGTACGGTTAGCATTGACGTGCATCCGGAAATCCGTCTCAGTATTTTCAGGAGGTTCAGGTATGGGTTGTACCATCCCGAACTGACGTACTATTCTGTCTGGTCGATGCATCTCCACAATTGCGTAGCATATCAAGGGGACTCTGGATACCCATATACCTGAACATGCGATCGCCGAATCACCAGCTACAGCCTGATACTCCGGATCATCCATATCATATGGCATCCATATAAACTGATCTGGGAGCATCTGATCCAACATCATCCTAAAAATACGAAGAACATGTGCACCAGTCTCAATGAAGCTGACATGGTTGGTCCACCTGTGATATATTATTATATATTATACAAAAAATTTATACACAAATCACCGTAACAATAATGCAAAAATAATTTAACATAAATCTCAAAACCATTACCGTGCACCGTAAGGTGGTACGGGAAACTCATATCCTGCATACTCAAGTGTTGTGCCCCATTTCGCCAGAGTAGGTATGGGCCTTAATGGAGGAATCCGCATCCATGCCCATATCTGTTAAATAATTGTTCTCTTCACCACTATCATCATCGTCTCCATGGTCGGAGGGTTCAGAGTCGCTTCGAACATTTGGCCCATGTGCGTCTCCGAAAGGATCATCGTCATCATTATTATCACAATGACGAGTTTCATTAGGAAGATCAAAATTTTCATGAGCATTTCTCATGCCACTTGATTCCCCAATATGTACCCCAAGATTTTGATAAGAATGCCTCGATGGCCCCGCTTCAAAGCCCATATTAGAAAATCCTTGTGTAACCGCAACTAACTCAGGACTTGTTTGCATAAATGAATTGTACGCATCATTCAAATCAAAATGTTGTGAAGGTCTCGAAGGGGAGTAGAGAGGTTCTGATGTAGTGAATTGTGAAGGTCTCGAAGGGGAATAGAGAGGTTCTGATGTACTGAATTGTGAAGGTCTCGAAGGGGAGTAGAGAGGCTCTGATGTAGTGAATTGTGAAGGCATCAAAGGATTGTATAGAGGCTGAGACTCAACATAAACATCTATGGAATCGTTTCCTTCATCCGGGTGCAAATAGATTTCTAAATCATCATCACTTGTTATCTCAGAAACTATCTCGCTCCACTGATTTTGATACCATCGTGATATTTTGCCCGACACCGATAACACAAATTCATTTCTATCTATTCGGCAACGTGAGTATATTTTCGCCAAGAAGTCTGAGAAAGATATATCGCGTTTCACTCGTACGACTGTATGATGAGATTGATCATAATTCACTGACAATCCCTCATGAACAATATGGCCTCCTATATACACGGAAACTTTGACAGTATTCCTACCCGGAGTCGCCATTGAAACCCTATATTTTGATATTTTGAGATTATTATTTTTCTTTTCAAATATTTAATATTTTCTAATTTTTTTACAGCTACAAACACTTATGTTATATTATAAATCAGTTAAAACAAACAATTAATATTTAAAAAATTCTAATTCTTTTTATAATTTGATAGTTCCAAAACTATTAATTTGTATATTATAAATCCTAAACACATTGTGTAACTCGTAATTTTTCGACATATTCATATAACACTAACCAGTTAAAAACAAACAATTTGTATAAATTAGCAAACTTATCATTCAAGTAAGACTTAAATTAACCAATAAAATATTTAATTTACCTCAAAGATAATTGTAGATTTGCTAGCACCCACAATCACTACTCAATCCACCACAAGTTGAACTTCCACCTATTTATAATAATAAAAAGACCATCAAAATAAAAATTTCAGCAATTATTTAAAAATGGGGGGAAAAAAATAGCTCCAAGTTGTACTACATTTGTACAATATAACAAATAATTACCTTCAAAATATTATTATTTGCTAGCTACAAAAATCCCTTCTCAAAACACCACAAATTAAGCTTCCACCTAGTTATAACAATAAAAAACAAAATTAAAATTTCAGCAATTAAAAATAATAATATTTGTCCAATATAAAAAATAAATACCTCCAAATAATTATTACTTGCTAGCAGCGTAAATCCCTTCTCAATCCACAACAAATTACATTTCACCTAATTATAACAATCAAAACACATCAAAATTTAAATTTCAAACATTATTTAAAAAAAAAAGATAAAAATATGTTAAATTATTAAAACATAGGATCAAAAGTGAAACTGATGTAAACTTGAGGGGCTAAAGTGTAATTTTACAATTTTCATAAATTGAAAAGAAAAAAAATAAGAATTTTGAAGTCATTGATTTTGAATTTTGACCAAACATCCATAAATTCGAACGGTTTGAAATCATGAATTTGAAATCTAAATCCTAATTATGGTAAAAAAGACGATTTATGGTCAAAATTAATGGCACTAAGTAATTAATGGTAAAAAAGACGATTTATGGTCTTGTTGAGGTAATACCTATTCTAATGTCATGACTAATTCTACCAATTTATCCACTAACACACTAATAATTAATTAATTTATCTTACTAATTATTCTACTCGTATCATATTTAAACCATTACAAAAAATTTAAATTTCAGAAATTATTTAAACACAATCAAACATTCCTTCTTAAATCCACCATAAGTTAAAGTTTAACCTAAAAATAACAACGAAAAACAACAATAAAAATTTGAATTTCATCATAAATTATATATATTTTAACGATACAAGAAATAATTTATCTCCAAATTAATTGATAATTTATTAGATCAAAATTTCATTAATCCACTATAATAATAATTGAAAGAGTGAAAAAAAATTACCTCAATAAGTACCCTGCTGAAATTAATTAAATTACCTACATTAGTTAAAATATTAATTAAACAATAATAAATAATAATTAACAAATAAAAAAGGAAGAGGAAGAAAACTTACGGTGTTGGTGTTGGGAAGAAGGGAGCAAGGCAGCAAAATGTGGAATGATTTGTTTAAGGGATAGGATAATATATATATATATATATATATATATATATATATATATATATATATATATATATATGGAGCTCTGTTTTTTTCTTTTTTTATGTTAAGACA